TTTGATCGTATTTTTCTTCGAATTATAAATAACTATTGTTGAGTAATCATCGGATAGAATAAATGATGTTGATTGTTCTGGCAATTTAACACTTAATAGTGAATGAAATTCGAATTTGATATCTGCCATGCGGTGTGGGTGTGAGTGTAGATGTGAATGTATGTTTAATTCTTACCCCCACGCACCCTATCCTTTTCAGCGATATTTTACCGAATCTGTAACAAACGGACAGCTGCAACTCTGCCGTACAATCCTTCTGCAGTCTACAGATCCGAATGTCAAATCGTTACTCTTTGGGCCACCACGCACCGAGACTTAAATGAAGGTGTCTATATGTTCTCTGACACTGTCGAGGCTAAACTAGTCAAACTAGTGCTCGTATAGACAAGGCTTATCGGTGCTATTTCGGGTATCGCGCTCCGAGACTAAAATGAAGATGCGTATGCGTTTTCTTGTAGGAGGAAGGTAAGACATCGTTGTGTTTTATCGTGCGAGCGGTGTATTGGAAGCGGTTTTAGGATGGCGCACGGCATTTATAGAAGTCGAGTTTATGTTTTATGCGTATTCGTGTTCGGACGGATATGCGGCTCAAATTTCAGTTCTGATGTAGGAAATAGGATAAGGTTTGGCAATCGCAATTAAAGAAAGATCTTTTAACAAGGAATCGCTGGGACTTGTGAGATCGACTGCGTCTCCCGAACTATTATAAATTATGTAATGTCATTTGAAGGTTCTAATGCATGAGGGTTTTAACTTCAGCAATAGTAACAACAAAGCTATTGTTTCTATGTCTTTGTGAAATAAGGATGAGTGACTCACGTTAATGCATACTTGAAAAGAATCGCTGAAATCGAAGGATTTAGTTAAGATACTTACTCATCTTCTGCATTTCATTTGAGACATTATCGTGTGCAACGAATCTCTGCAGTTCACTTACCCCTTAAGAAGACATTCCGATAAATTGAAGAATTATACAACTAAAAACATAAAGCAGAATCCTCGTTTTCACAAATCAATAGCAGCATATCAAGATATTCCACATTGGGAATTTCTCTGATTATTTAAGTTCGTCTAAAGCTTAACCGATCAGTCATATTCCTTTGGTTGCGAAGTTCGAAATAAACTCGTTACTGGAACTGCAAAACTTATACAAACTTTTTCTTTTTGTTTCCCACTAGTTTTATAAGCGTCCGCCTTCAAATGCCAAGATTTACACTTTTTACTTGTATCAAAGTGTTGTACTATTTACCATCGGACTGATACAATCATATATCCATTATATCGCTATGACGCTATAATGGTATAAAACCTACCCCTTATACCGCTAAGGAATATAGCGATATAACTGTATTTTGTTACAAATAGAGATGCATCATGTGCAGAGTCAAATTTGTTGATTTCGAAGTTTTTTTTTTGACTGTCATGTCTACTTCTTCTTGTGTTACTTGTTAACAGTTTTTTTTCTTGAAACTTCTGATTATAAACTTATTGAAAATAAAGCTCTGTTTTAGAAAATTTAAAATTATTTGCTAGATAAATCTATTCTGTCAAGTCGATAAATTAACAAATAATGTTAAGAAAACAAACTTACGTTTAGTCGATATTAATGATGGTAATGTACATGATTTGGAACTTGAGCTTTTTGAAGTGACTGATAAGACACCGGCACCAGTCAATGAGCCAATTAATGGCAATGCACCTTGTTAGATATACATTCTATGATCTTTTTTTTCTTCTAAAGATGGATGACTTACCAAATGTATGTTGGATAAAATGTTCTAGGTTTTGACACATTTGACCAATTAAGTGGTGTCATATTTGATGTTTTAATAAATATTTTTGAATGCTGCTATTCATATTTTTATTCATGTGTTATCTGGTTTATTGACCAACAGACTGTCATCTTTTTTTTTCTTCATCATTGGATAAATGTGGTAATGATTCTAACAGACAAGAATAATTATTCCTATGTTAACACAAATAATTTGCTGATTTTTTTTCGTTCCTATTCAAGTTTATCAATTCACACATTAATTCTAATGAATATTTCATTGTTATAAATTTAAATATAGTTGTTTTGAAAATTATTCTAGTTGATTATTAACTTTTGAATCTTTCAAAATTTATTCTATGGGTAATGATCACACTATGTCGTCAGTATTTTGTTAAATTATTGAAGAAATCATTAGATAGAATATAAGCGAAAAAAAATAGTTTTAATATAAAAAGAATATAGAAATGAACTGGAAAGTTTTGGGGTTAGACAAGAATAGAATCTGTAATGTTGATCTCGGATGTGATCAGTTCTAGATGGCCGACACCCACATCCACACTCAAAGAAAAAGAAACACGATCTGATCGAAACACATATCAATTTGACAACATAACAAAAAATATTTTTCACAGTTTTTTGGATTACAACTAATCATAAAACTACAATCAAATTAAACTAAATATGTTTGAATACAATTCAGTTAGAGTTATAACTACATAGTAATGATTACCAGTCAATAAGAGTTTTCTTTTTAGAAAATAACTTGATTTTGCAGATATAGATGAACAGAAAATTCACACTCACATTCATCATAACTTCATTTTGATCATCAAAAACAGATTGATCTCAAGCTCTTTATGACTTTTATCTTATAATGATTCAGCTAAAATTGAAATAATCTTATGATTGATGAACCAAAAATAACATTAATATCAATGGAATCATCTTTCATCATAGATGTACACGATCTTTTCACAATAAAGAAACTCCAATACTCAATGAGACCGTTTGACTATACTATAGCAATATGGTAAATAAGACACTATGATCCTTCTTTTTCTCTACTGCAACCACGTACTGTGTTTGATTCTTCTGTTTTTTAAGGTATTTTCATAAAACCTCTTCTCACCGACACTTTTCTATAGAACTAATTTTTGAACGTTCCTTCAATTTAAAGTTTTTTTCAGTATGATGCTAATCATACTTAGTCTCTAGATTTTCGAGATACACGATACTTCTGAATCAATAACCATGCAGAGAAACGGAATTAATATAATGTACTCAACAGTGTTGAATTCATTTTAATGAGTTTTTATTGACACAAACTCGAAAATGTAGTGACCAAAGGCTCTTGATGAGATATCTGCACATCGAAAGAAACAAAAAAAAACGAAGAAAAATGTAACATTACGTTTCTTCGGCAATCCTTCGTTTACATATTCTTCTTTCAGATTGTCACTCACTGTACAGACGAGAGCGCAAGAAGAAAAAAACGATGGCAACAATAATAAAACTGCATTAGTGTCTCTTTCTGTTTGTTTGCTATCAACATACTTCTTTGTTGATGTTTCTTCTTTGTCACATAAGCATTGTCATAAGGATAATGTTTGTCTCTTACTTTTGGTTAAAAAAACAGCATTTGTGTCTTCAATATCACTATCGGTTGTAGTTTTAAAAGGACGTGTGTATGGGTGTCAATGTTACCGAAGACAAGACTCACACCCACACCGTATTCCTTCTACAGTGTTATTTTTCTGCAATATAATATATCATTAGCTTACAATTTTACGATGATGATAACATTACTTTCTATGCTTGTAGTTTTCTTCTTGCTTTGATATTCTTATCATTTTATTTACTAGTTCTTAATTTCTTCTTATCTTGTATTGTCAACCTCGTTTTATAAAGATAATAAAAGTTCATGTAAAATAAAGCAAACTTAAGTTGAAAAGAAAAAAACCCATAAAATGAATGATATTGTTACATGTTTTTCTTGTGTTTATTGAAACTAATGAGAGTTTATCTTTGAGTGTCAACGAAAAACATTAAAAAAAAAACATCGATATCGAACATATAAATAGAAAAGGTGATCGCTGTCCAACTAACAATCCACTATTCTTTATATTCAGTTACTGATTCAACAGCAAAGTTTTGCTTCAAAATGAATCGACAACGACTGCGACAAATGGCTGAAAATTATCTGGTGATCTGGGTTGACAGCAATATCAACATGGAAAACGAAGATTGCCAAAACACACTCGCGCAATTGCGCAGTGTTGTTAATAAAGTGGATCCATGCGCCACGGCCGAACAATGTATTGACAAGCTCCAGGAAAACAGTGAGGAGACATCATTTGTTATCTCCTCTGGTGCACTTGGTCAACATCTTGTACCGGATATTCATGGCATGCCAAAATTAGATGGCATATATATCTTCTGTGGTAACAAACAACACCATCAAGAATGGGCCAAACATTGGCCAAAAATTAAAGGCGTTCACACCACAATCAAAAGCATCTGTGAAAAACTGGCAGTAGCCGTCAAAAAATGTAATCAAGATCAGGTAACTGTTAGTATTATTAGTGCCAATGAAGGAGATTCTAGCGAAGATCTCAATCAGCTAGAACCGACCTTCATGTATACACAAATATTTAAGGAAATTCTCCTTGACATGGATCATGGCCAACAAGTCATCAAAGATTTGATCACCTTTTGTCAAAAAAAATATCAAGGCAACCCCGAAGAGCTCAGAGTTATCCAAGAATTCGAACGTACTTATCGTCCATCAAAGGCTATTTGGTGGTATACCCGCCAATGCTTTACATACAAAATGCTTAATCGAGCATTACGAACGCTCGATGGTGACATAATCATTAGAATGGGATTTTATTTATGTGATGTCCATCGACAAATTGAAGATTTACATAGCAGGCGAATCGATCAATATCATGGTAAGACATTTCCACTTTATCGGGGGCAGGGATTATTGACGGCAGATTTCGAAAAAATCTCTAAAAACAAAGGTGGACTTATCTCGTTCAATAATTTTTTATCCACCAGCAAAAATCGAGATGTTTCTCTCGAATTCGCCAAGGATGCCTTAAGAACAACAGATATGGTTGGTGTTCTTTTCCAAATGACCATCGATCCCACAGAATCGTCGACTCCATTTGCTTCGATTCGAGAGCTCAGTGAGTTCGCGCAAGAAGAGGAAATTCTTTTCTCGATGCATACAGTTTTTCGAATTGGTGACGTCCGAAAAATTGACAAGAAAAGTCCACTTTATGAAGTGGGCCTTAAACTTACGGCAGATGATGATCAACAACTACGTCGATTAACCGATCGTATACGACAAGAAACATCGGGCAGCACTGGATGGTATCGATTGGGTCAATTGCTGCTAAAAATAGGTCAATTCGACAAGGCCGAAGAATTGTATACCGCATTACTAGAACAGGCATCGTACGACAGTGATAACGCATATCTTTATCATCAACTTGGATGCTTGAAAGATAACCAAGGACAATACAAAGAAGCAGCATCATATTATGAGACATCTCTCAAAATTAAACGAAAAACTCTCCCGCAAGATCATCCTTCACTAGCTGCTACCTACAACAACATCGGTCTCGCATATAACTACTTGGGTGAGTACCCGAAAGCACTTGAATTTTACGAAAAAGCACATAAAATAAAAGAAAAGGCTCTGCCTCCAAATCATCCTGATTTGGCTATTTCCTACAACAACATCGGTGCAGTGTATAACAACATGGGTGACTACTCGAAAGCACTTGAATTTCACGAAAAAGCACTTAAAATAAGAGAAAAAACTCTGCCTCCGAATCATCCCGATTTAGCTACTTCCTATGCATGGATCGGTGCAGTAACTAACGACATGGGCGACTACTCGAAAGCACTTGAATTTTACGAAAAAGCACATAAAATAAAAGAAAAAGCTCTGCCTCCGAATCATCCTGATTTAGCTCAATCCTACAACAACAGCGGTGCAGCATATAACGACATGGGTGATTACTCGAAAGCACTTGAATCTCACAAAAAATCCCTTGAAATAAGACGAACATCTCTGCCTCCGAATCATCCAAAGTTGGCTTATCCATACAAATGGTTCGGAAAGATTTATCGCGGTATGAAAGATTACCCAAGAGCACTTGAGAATTTCGAAAAGTGTCTCTCAATACGTCAAAAGGCCTTACCTAAAAATCATCCAGATAAAGCTACTACATACAGTGACATTGGTGATGTTCATCGATTAATGGGAGATTATGAAAAGGCATTGTTATTTCATCGAAAAGCATTAAAAATTCAAGAAAATGTTCAATGTAATCTTTTAGATTGTGCAACAACACATATAAATTTAGGTGAAACTTATCGAGAAATGAAAGATTATGCAACAGCATTGACATATTTTCAAAAAGGATTAGAAATACGTCAGAAGAAATTACCAAAAAATCATCCTGATTTAGCTGTTGTATATCACAATATGGCAAAATTATAT